GATTTTATTTATTTATTTGACACAGAGAGACACAGTGAGAGGGGAAACAGAAGCAGGAGGAGTGAGAGAGGGAAAAGGCTTCCCGCCGAGCAGAGAGCCCGATGCGGGGCTCGATCCCAGGACCCTGGGATCATGACCTGAGCCAAAGGCAGACACCTGACAACTGAGCCACCCAGAGGCTCCTCCTCATTTGCTAGAATGGACACACGGGTCAGACAGGTCAGAGCACATTCCTGACAGTGCGGTCCTCTGCCTGCAAGGTGGGTAGCTATGACACCCCTGGCTCAGCTCAGCTGTCCCTGGGTCAGCTGCTGCCCTCTGGCTGGAAGAACTGGGTCAAAACAAAAGGTTTTGGAGATAACTTGGCTTCCAGTTTGCATGTCATTTAGTTCATGTCATCGTCCATCTAAGTCGCATTGGCAGCCTGGACAGGAGACCAGCTGCCCATCCTGGCCTCTGGGGCTAGGGGCTGCCTGGGGCGGGCTACTACTATTGGTTTGAATTTATGTTAAACTGTGTGTGTCTGAAGTTCCCTGAGAATACTTCTTGACCAAAGGATTTTCTTCCTTTGCACAGATGAGTGTTTTTGGATGACCAGATGCTCCAAATCTTCTGGCATAGACCCAATTTCCAATATTCTGTCTTCCCTCTTCTTTTGAAACATACTTATTAAGCGTCTCTTTATGTCAAGTATTGGGAATAAAATGGTGAATATGGCAGCTCTAGTCCCTGAATTATGGAGCTTATCTTATGGGAAATCCTTTATTTGGAGTTAGGGTTTGGGAAATATGGTCTGGCTCTTTCAGCAGCCCTAAAGCCCTTGCAGTAGGAACGTAGGCGGCGTTACTTTTCTGTGGTTTCTCCTCCTTTCGAAGGCACTTTCCGGTACATTCACCTCTGGTAGACGAGCCTATCGGTAAATGTTCGGCTATGAGCACATCCCAGGGAACAGTTTAACTGAGAGATTCTCTGTATGTTTCTCTGATTCCGCCTGTTGTTAATTACGTTGCATCTCACGTGGGGGTTACGGATTCATTTCGGTCAGATGGTAGTTTTTCCCGTCTTTGGCGCCAACTCTCTTTTCATTTTGTGCCTTTGTTAGGGCGTTGGTTTTCAAAGCAGTTTTGCCTAGTATTGTCTCATGCCCGGGAGGCTTTTCATAGGCCAACTATATTTTTAAGAATTTGATATTTTAATACCAACCAAGCAACATTAGAAAGAAGTTTAAAAAAAAACCAAAACAACTTTTAATTACAGAGAATTTCAAACGTATACAGGAGGAGACCGAATGGGGTGCTCAATCACTGACCCTTAACCCAGCCCCAGAGCTCTCAACCCAGGCTCAGTCCTGCCCTGTCTGCACTCTCATCCGTTTCCTCTGCCCGTATCCCAGATATCATAAATATTTAAGCATGTTTCTCTGAAAGATAAAGGCTATCTCTTAATACAATCCCAGTGCTGTTATCATGCCTAAAAAACTAATATTTATCTTATAGGGAGATATTTTAAAGGACCTGCGAGGAAAAATACGCAGCCACAGACACAGTGCTAGGCATGGCACCTCTTTTTTCCATTTTTTTTTTTTTTTTTCCCATGTCCTACAACATGCAGACATTTTGTCAGAACGATAGCAGTCTCGGGCTCCTTTGCCACTGCTCTGATAGGAATTTTATGACCGGGGCAAAATCAGTTCCCTGTCCCTCCCTCTAAGAAAAGCAGAGGATGTTCCCTCTGGCTGGGCCATATTGACATCTGGAAAAGTCCCCAGAATTTCTTCCAACTTCTAAAGCTCCCTCTTCATTCAGCAAATATTTATTGAGAAAGTCACTAAGTGTCTGTCACTGTTAGGTGTCGGGGATTATAATAGAAAAGAAGACCACAAGGCCCAGCGAATAGACAAGCAAGCCTTCTGTGTATGATGATACTAATACCCTGTTGTGGTTATGAGGGTGCAGAGACCTAACCAGTCCGAAGGGTGAGTGAGGACGTCCTCGAGGGGGAGACATTTTGGCCCAGCCATGGGCACTGCACACAGAGAGAATGGCCCGTGTAATGCCCTGTGACAAGAGGGAGGTTGACTGATAAAGGACAGAAAGGAGGTTGGGGGTGAGGGTCCAAGGGAAAGACGGAGCCCAGGAGGCTGGATGGGAGCCTGCCTTGTGCTGAGCCTGCCTCTTCCTCGTGGCCCTGACAGGACTGGGGCCACGGCTCTCGGCTGCCCTGTCCCTGAGGTCTGAGCTGCCCCATGGAGACATGAGATTCAGTTTCACTCCTGACTCATAGCTACTTTGAAGATTTTGTGGTCAAAGGGAAGAGCTTAGATTTGGGGAGATGTCCTCAGGCAATTGAATGTCGCCACCTTGGAAGAACTAATAATATTTATGTGGTCGGGTTACTGTGAGGATGAGAGAAGATGCTGCACAATAAAACAGACAAATACTTGTCCCCTGCTCACTCTTCATCAGCCTCCCCTCCGTTTCCCTGTCACACTGCCTGGGGAACCCTCTCTATGTGGAGTGTCCCGTGAGGATGGCCCTGCTCCTGAGCAAAGTCCTGGGCTGGGCCCTTCTCTGGGCTCTTTATTTAGTTCCTGGCTTGGTAAGAATTTTTTAGTTTTAGTTTTTTGAAAATTGAAATGTAAGTTATTCATTAAAAAATGACGTCCCCACCCCTTTCTTTTTCTGGTTAAAAATCTAACCCACAGAAGCATAAGCGGGAAAAAAGTGAAATCCCGTTTTAACAGAGCCCACTGGCTTTAAAAGTCTGGATTCCATTCTTCTAGATGTTTTCTACACACAAACATACATTTAAAAAAAAAAAAATCCAAGAACCCGGAAATGACTGTTTTCCGCTTCACAGATCTTCAATGTCTTTCCATGTGTGTAACTGTTGGAGACATCACTTTCACAGACCTTGTTGTGACCTTGTGTGTGTTTTCCTCCACGGGTGGTGGTCCCTGTCCCTCCACCGGGCGGGAGGGCAGAGTCCTCTGGATGCGGCCACCTGAGCGTCTTCCTGAAAGCCAGAAACGCCTTTCACCGAGGCCCCAGGTCCTCATCAGCTTGTTTTTCAGGAACTGGGTGGAGTCTGACTGAAAGAGCCTGCTTTTGTTGCCTGGTCTGCCAGGATTTTCTTTACAGCTTTTCCTCTTCCTAATTCTATGTCTGGGAAACCGGGGCCTGGAATCCCAGCTTGTCATTCCACCAAGAGCCATGGAACAGCCTCTTCACCTAAATTTATGTACAGATTTCAAGAGTTGCATTAGTGCCTATGGGACCCCCGCACCATGGACTCCAGTGGAATCATTTTCTGGAAGCAAATTCAGTGTCACAACCCCTCATATCCCGTCTTTTGCCAAATATGTACAGAAGGGTAAGAAGCAATGGATATTTTGTTTTCTAGGTGTTTTGTTTTTGTTTTTGTTTTTAAAGCTCCCAACCTAGACAGACAAGCAATACAAACGGTTATAAAGAAAGAATTGAAAGATATTCTGATACCCAGTACCCCTGCCCCCCACACACTGTCCCCTCCTTAGAGGTTATTACTATTAATAATTTGTCATGTGTCTTTTTAAACTTTTCTTTGACAAACTTTCAATGAATGGGATTATAAAGTTTTTATTCTGCCACAAATGAATGCTTTTTAAAATGTAAATTACAGTTTTGTATGCCAAAAATATTTTGCGAGTGCATGGAAGGAATTTATGCAAAGGTGGTTTAAAGATTGGTGGGACGGGTGCTTGGGGGGCTCAGTCAGTTAAGCATCCGACCTTTGATTTTGGTTCAGGTTGTGATCTCAGGGCTGTGGAATCGAGCCCTGAGTCGAGCTCCGCACAGAGTCTGAGAATCTCTCCTCCCTCCACCCTTTCCCCTGCTCATGTTCAATTAAAAAAAAAAAAAAGTAAGTAAATAAAATCTTTAAAAAAAATTAGTGGGAGAACAGAGTTGCCATTATGGAATTCAGGCTTCTGTACTGTGATTGTCAAGGTACCAGGGTCAACCCCAGGGGAGACTGGACATAGGTTGGTTTGTCTGTGACATCTCAGTCCCTGGTTTTGTCCTGCCCTTCCTTCTCCCTCATGGAGGCTCTTACTCTGTCCTCCTGCACCTATCAAAGCCTACAGCATACTTGGTGTCAAGAGAGTTGGCCTTAAATCTAGATGTGTGGCTGGAAGCAAGCTATTTAACGTCTCTGAACTTGGGTTTCCTCAGCTGTCAAGTGCAGAGGACCATCGCTCTGTCACAGAGCGGTCGTAAAGATTCAACGTGCTAAGGGACGTATCTGGCTTATGGTAGAAGCTGAACAAATCTTAACTGCCCTTTTTTCCGGTTTCTTGAGCCTTCATTCTGTAAAGGTGTGTCAGGACATGGTACCCCTTCCCAGGAGTGTTTGCCTTTCAACATGGATCAAAGCTTTGGGTGAAGGAATTAAGGTACAGGAAGGTTCTTCTGGAGAGAAGCTATGCTGCTTCTATGCCTGGCTTTTCAGAACTACTTCATGAATTGTCATAGCCCAGAGGGCAGCCAACATTCCTCCCCCAGTATCTCAACCTCATGCATTTCAAGGGACATATTCAATGATGAGGTCTGAGGTGGAAGGCATCCAGAGGAGCTGATATGAGGTGCTGGGGTGTGGGGGAAGCATTACCAGGATACTGGGAGTGTGAGAGTGCAGACCCTTGCTCTTATCATGAGGGACAACACAGGTCCATCTGGCATCTTCATGAGAATGAGAAGGGCACTGGTCTGGGACAGTGGGGCCCGCAGATGGACTCTTAGGTGGGTGGATAGGGCTTCAGTAGAAATTTGAGAAAGATGCCCTTCCTCCAGGTGCAAGCAGGAGAAGGGAGAGTGGGCTGGGTCTCCGACAGCCTCTCCTTGCCGCCTGGCTCCTTGGTTGCCCACACAGCCTGCACGGCATACACAGCGCACCCCTTGTCACAGCTGCTCCCATGAGGCCTAAACGGTCATTCTTCTTTCCTCTCTTCTCCCTTCTTGAAGCAGCCTGACCTAAGCAATGGGGAGCCCACCAGGAAACTTCCTCAGGGTGTCGTCTACGGTGTGGTGCGGAGATCGGATCCAAATGAGCAGAAGGAAATGGTGGTGTACGGGTGGTCCACCAACCAGCTGAAAGAAGAGATGAACTACATCAGAGACGTGAGTCGTTTAAGGATGTTTGTTTGTTTTGTCCATACTCCTTTTGTAGCATGCGAGATGGTGGAGTAGGAAGCATTGATGTGAATGTGATAAGGCCTTTTGGAAGAATTCCTAGCATTACCATTTTGGATGGAAACGTTTCTGTGGATCTTCACGGTAGTGTTTAAGGTACAGATGTAATTGTGCAGCGAGGTCTAGCATGAACTGCTGGAGTGACTTAGTAGGAATGCTCAGGAGACCAGGTGACTCCCTTCTTCTGTGTATGAGATGGAGGCTTTTAAGTGATTTTTTGTTTATTATGTTGGACGTTCCATTCCTGGCATAGGAGTTTTGGAAACTGTATGCATTTGGTTGCTCTGGGCTGTAAGGAACAGAGATGCCATCTCAGAAAGGAAATCTGTCTCATGTGGGGATAAGTGTAGGGGTAGGTGGGTTCTTACCAGGGCACGTCCAGGCTCTAATCTTCCTTGTCTGAGTTTCCCTTGGTTCTAGCCTTCAGCCTCAGGCTCATGGCATCACCTGAAAATATCATGGTGTCTAGAGGAAGAAAAGAGGGCACTCACCTCTGTTTTCTTTTTAGAGGCCCCCTATTAGGCTTCTCCTTATGTCTCATTGGCCAGGATTGGGTCACAGGCCCATTCCCAATCTACCCTGGATGGGTCCCCTGGCGAGGGGAATGGGATTGATTATGGCTGGTTCAGACCAATCAGTTGTGTTGAAACAGATGCTGAGAAGTCAACCACAGTAGACACTCCATCTCGGGCCACTCAATATCATTTCTTTGTGTTTGATACTACGTTTCTTAATTTTTAAATTATATACTTTTTTCAAAGAAATTTGGAAAATATAATAGTGTATAATAAAGAAAAAAACAAAACCATCTATAATTCCACCATTTAACCAGAATAGTTATTAAGGAACTTTTCCTTCTAAATTTTTTATTTCTTTTCATCTGTCTCTCCGTCTGTCCATCCGTCCATCCGTCCATCCATCCATCCATCCATCCATCTATCCATCTCCATTCCTTTTTGTTTCTTCGTCCTCCTAGTGCCTTTGTTGGCCACATCAGTGTGATTAGATGGAGAGGAAATGAGTTTCTCTGACAGTGTTGGGCCCTGAGCACCTAGTCTGGTGGACTAGAAAGTTCTCATGAGAAGCAGAGCAGTGTGGGGCAGTAGAGTACCCCCCCGGGCCTCAGTTCAATGTCTACCTCTGTGTTTGGACCAGCCAAGCTTTTGTTCTCTCCGGGCTTCAGTTTTTTCCTATGTAGATTGTAAAGGTTGGGAGGGGACCCCTAAAGTCAAAACTGCCAGCTTTTTATATGGTGTATTTGCAGAGAAGACACAAAGTCATGTTGTCAGCTCTTGTGTGGATTTTTTAAAAGAATATCTCTTATTAAGTATTAAAAATAATAAGTGTTTTGGTCACCTTCTTTCATGTGTCTTGTAAGATTTGGATACTTATATAATTAAAAGGAATAAAAAAATCTTGTCTTGATTATATGTAATAATAATAATAAATACTTAACTGAGAAAATGGAGAAAAGCCAAAAAAGTTATCCACACAAATGCATAGGACAAGTGTGACAACCACCAGCCTCAAATCCCCAGTCATTATACATACTCCTCAGGTAGAACTTTCAATCTTTGAGTGTCTCATTCCGGATTTTCCTATATTAGAAGCAACTTGAATATCCTAGTCTCCCCTCTTTTTCTGATGGAAATACTTAGTCCCTTCTCGTATACCTCAGTGTGGCACCGCTTCACAGGTAGGCCTTTGAGGCAGAGCTGAGAGTCGCCAATTGCCCAAGACAAAAACAGCAGGTGGAGGCTGGTCGTGAACCAGGGATGATGTGTGTCTAGGACACAGGGTGGTTCTGACCTGCATTATTAGCTTCCACTGGGACTGCAACTTAAAATTAATTAAGGTCCCACCTTCTAGAGCTGCCTTTAAGTCCATCCCTGGCCTGCTTATGCCTAAGCATGTTTACGGGATTGTGGGTTCTCTCTTGACGTGGGTGACTCTGGCCTGGCTGGCTTCCTCCAGTATTTGCCGCCCAGCCAGAGAGCCGGCCCATGGATGAGCAGTATGAGCGCCAGCTTGGGGTCACAGTGAAAGCCATTCCGTCTGCCCAGAGTGCAGAGTTGTATTTGTAGGTAACAGCACGTTTTCCCAAGATGTTTGTAGGTAACAGCACGAAAGTAGACTCTGTCATCAGAATTCATTTAGGGAAGGCGTGGCACCTTGTTTGCACCCGGCTGCTGAAATCTCCAGTACACAGTCAGCCCTAATAAACATGCAGTCTGATTTAAAACCATGTGCCAGCTATGCAAATACAGCTTCAAGGTGAGGTTCCCCCCGTGCTGTCCCCTACACACCCCTCATTCCCACCAACTGCTGCCTTCGAGCCCTTCCTGCAGGGAAGTGCTGGAGCTCTCTGCAGGGGGCTGGCCTGGAGACTTTGTTTCTATTTGAGGACCCCTGAGCTCGCCACCAACCAGAGGGGCAGCAGAAGAAGGGAGGAGATGCGGTCAAGGTTTTTTGTTTTTATTTATACAATTTTTTAAAAAGATTTTAATTATTTATTTGACAGAGAGAGAGATCACAAGTAGGCAGAGAGGCAGGCAGAGAGAGAGAGACGGGGAAGCAGGCTCCTTTCTGAGCAGAGAGTCCGATGTGGGACTTGACCCCAGGACCCTGAGATCATGACCTGAGCTGAAGGCAGAGGCTTAACCCACTGAGCCACCCAGGTGCCCTATGTATAAAATTTTTAAGGACCTGTTAATCCTTCTAAAGTGCTACTGTAGAGAAACTTAGTCAGTGGTTGTGTAAACAGATGTTTAGGGGATCACCCTGACCCTTGTTATATTTTGTGTCTTGTGTATTATTGGTCATTGTTGAGGAACTAATGTTCAAATTTATGGTCTCTCTGGGCTCATACTTCCCTGCTGTGTATTCCAGACACTTCATTGCTCTTTGGTAGTCAGAGGTGACACAGGGAAAATTAGAGGGCTTTTTGGTTTTGGTTTTTTGGTTCTCCTAGCCAGCTGTTTATAGAGTCAATTGGTTAAAAATTTTCTACTTCTAAAAATGCATGGTAGGAAAAGGGGTAAATCTTGCCTGAATGTGTTTGGATAGGTGATAGGTGAATTTCAACAAACCTTCTTCAGAGGTTCTTATTTGGATAATTAACCTTTATTAATAATTATAATCATATACAATCATAGTGCATATGTATTATTACTGGTATTATTTGGATAATTCCCTTGACTTCTAACTAGATATTAGGAGTGATTTTATCCCTTAATCTCTTAAAATTGTTTTTTTGTTTGCTTGTTTGTTTTTGTTTTTTTGGGGGGGGGCCTTCCTGTCATTAAGGTTTCAACAAATTTCACATGAAAATGTTATAGCTTGATCTCTAATAGCATCTCATCTGCAGGTGAGAGCCACTTTGGAAAAAGTAAGGAAACGAATGTATGGAGACTACGATGAAATGAGACAGAAGATTCGACAGCTCACCCAGGAATTGTCAGTAAGTGACTATCTCAGTGACTTGGAAACATGGAGGGGTGGTAGAGCTTAGCACTCCTTGTGAGGGTCTGCTACCTGAATATATTTGAGTTTATGATGATGTTTGCGAGTGGAATCCTATTTTGAATGAACTCAGGGAATGTTATCACGGAATTAAGTTTATTATTTAAAGGGATATTTTTGTGGCAAGAATGATCTTTACATTAAAAGCATTCCCTCCACAGTCCGGAACAAGACAAGGAAACCAGCTGTCATCACTACTACTTAACATTGTACCTGAGAGATTAGCCAATGGAATTGAACAAGAGAAATTAATTTAGAGGCATAAAAGTCAGACAGGTAGACGTAAAACTGCCACTATTTGCAATCACACTATTTGTGTGATTATATACCCAGAAAGCACAAGTGAACCAATGAAAAAAAACTACTGTAAAAAAATTTTGTAAAGTAGGAGGGTAAAAAAATTAATAGTAATGGGCAAATACATTTCAGTATACAGAAAACAACTGGTAAGAAGAAATAAGAGCAACAGAAAACTACGAAATATTTAGGAGTAAACTGACCAAGAGGAAAGACATGCCATGTGCTTAGACAGGAAGAGCCAAAATCGTAAGCCATCAGTACTATTCAGGTTAATGTAGGAATGTGTTGTAACTCCATAAAAACACCAACAGATTTTTATCTTATGTTGCTTTTGCAACTGGACTGGATGATCCCAAAGTAGACAGAAGATAAATATGAAGAGTTGAGGAAATTCTGGAGAGAAATGCAATGAAGAAGACTAGCTCTATTAATATTACAAGACATTGAGAGAGCTTCAGAGATTAAGACCGTATCATATTGGCACATAAATAAATAAGCATCCATGAAAAAAGCCCAGAGATGTACGTCAGTATGTGAGAAATGTAGCAACCTAAAGGGAGGAAAATGGGCCAGTCATTATACACTGTGGGGACATCTTATGTGACATCACGACAGGCTTATATCTGGATGAATTCCAAAGAGATCAAAATCTTAAATGCTGAAGGTGAAATTTAAAAGTGCCAGGAGAAAAGGTGTGTGAGTTCTTTTATACTCTTGGAATGGAGAAGGCTCTTTGTTACTCTTGACATGACATCCCAAACTACAAAAGAAAAGTTTCATAACTTTGACTACACTGAAATGAAAGATGTGTGCTGGCAAAAACACCAAAGTCCAATGACAAACCCAGCCCAAATGACTTGTCCTTCACATCATAGGTAACAGGCTAATTTTCCGAGTACTTAAAGAGTACACAGACATCAAGAAAAAAAGGCCACAACTCAAAAATAGGCAAAATATTTGTTATAGATAACTTACAGTAATTTTTATCCATGAGCCTGGCATCCCTGTGGGGGTGGACAGGACACTGTACTAGCAGTGCTGTGGAGGAGCAGGCCGATTGCTGGACAGGATGTGATTTTGAATCACCCCGAGGACGAGCAACTTGGCAGTATCTACAAAATTACTTAGGTCTCTACCCTGTGACTTAGCAATTCTGTTCTGAAGAATGTATTCTATAAACTCTCACGTGTGAAATGACAGAGGTGTGAGCTTAGTTATCACATTGTTTGTGACAGAAACAAGACCGGAAACCTAAATATCCATCAAGAAGGGGAAAGTAAACTAAATTACTACTCTGCAAGAGAATACGCAGAATTTAAAAAAGAGGAGCTCAGAAAGAGATACTGAAAGATCTCAAAGATACAGAGTAGATGGTAAAAAAAAAAAAAAAAAACAAGATACAGGGAATTATGTACAGTGAGCTACCACTTATGTAAAACAGGAAGGGAAAATAAGTATGTTTAGCTAGTTCTATGGATATGAAAGCAGTTACTAGAAGGATAATCAAGAAGCTAATTAACCAGGATTCTTAGTTGAGGGGCAAAGCGGGCGTGGTGGTACCTGAGTGGAGGGGACAGGAGTGGTTGATTGATTTTGGTGTCTCCCTTTTATATTTGGTAAATGTTTGAACTACTTGAAGGTACTATTTTGGAGTTTAAGAAAAAATAACATTCCTCTGGTTTAAACAAGCTAAATCCTGTGAGAAAAAAAAAATTTTTTTATACTTAGGATTCATAATGGTGAAGAAAAAAAGTCCATGTATATATGACACACTTTCCAGAAAGGTAAACATCTGTAGGAAGGAAGCACAGTTGCAACAGTCAAGTTTAGGCAGTGGCTTGGCTGGGAGATGATCTGCTTAAGAGCCATGGCCCTGATTATAGGGGTGGGGGCGTATAAACAGAGCCGCCCAGCCCGGCCCGTTCTCCCTGACCTGCTGGGAGCGGTCTGGGGAGTCCTCACTGACTTGTGGAAATTCACTCTGCCGTCCACGGACACACACCAACAGCCATAATTAAAGCCAATGGTTGGCATTGCAGCAGATGCATAAGAGAGTCTCTTCCCCCCCTCTTTCCATCCCCATCTCCCCCACACCCCCATTTTCCCATGCGAGAATGGTGGCAGGAACTGTCCGTCTGCCACAGTGCCCTCCGGCTGCAGGCCAGCCCGCCTTCTGCAGCCAGATGACGGCTGCAAAGTTCCTGTTCGGTGAGCTCGCCCCTGAGCGAGAACATGCCGCCGGCCTGCCCCCAAGGCCAGGCCTACTGTTCCCACTCGGGCTCCCCCGCACACAGGGCACCACCCACTCCATCATTGCTGGTGGCCTCCTGTGGGCTTACAGACCCCATGGGCGTCCAGCCTTGACCGGTCCCGAACCCTCACCCCTACTCCCCCTGCCTCCTGCAGCGGTAGAGCGCCCCCCTCCCCCCCCCGCCCTCTTGAAGCTCTGGCTTGAGGCTGCTAGAACTCTTGGATGAAACCGTGTCAAAGGTGCGGAACACACACCCTACAAAGACCACACAGTGGCAGCCCCATAACGTGCTTGAGAAGCGCATGAGCCCCACGTGTGCTCTCTCTGGTGACTAGAAAGGGCAAGATGGCGGGAGAAGGTGTGGCAGCTGCGTTCCAGGTCCAGCTGTGTCTGTTCTCAGCCTCTGGGGCGAAAATACCTGAACTCAGACTCGGTTTCCTTCATAGAAAGGGAGGGAGCTCTGGCTGCTGCACGTGTTGTGAGGACCTAGCGAGGCCCCACAGGGGAAGACGTGAAGGAACAATGTCTTGTCTTTCCCCCTCTGGGCCATGCAGATGCGGGCTTTGTAACCTTAAGCTCTACTTGGACTATCAGGAGAAGGTTCTAGCCTAACCAAAGCTTGTTGCGGGTGTATGTGGTTTTGTGTAACTACCTTATCATCTGTCTAGGCTTCCCAGGCTCAGCAGGAGTATCTCAAGAATCATATCCAGACACAGTCGTCAGCCCTGGACAGTTTTAATGCCACCAACTCGGCCTTAACGTCGGACTCCATCGGCCTGCAGGTACTTGTTTGCTCACGGTCAACCTGGGTGCCCTCTGGGTGGGGCGGGCATGCCTAACCAGGTGTGGACCCTGTGCCTTTGGAGAAAAGCAAGTCATGGGGTGTCTTCGGACCATCATGCAGGATCCTTCAAGCATGGCCACGGTAGAGACCCCGCCAGGATGCTGGTGAAGGAAGTGAAAGGAAGTGCTTCCAAGCGGGGGCTCTAACCCTTTGAGTTTTATTTGTTTTCGCCTTCGTTAAAATGGGAGTTTCCATCCTGAGCTTTTTGCTAGAGGCATCTCCTTCTCCAGCAGGCACCTGAGGGGGTCTTAAGTGTCAGCGCCTGAAACAGCCCATCACCGCCCCTTGCAGCCCCAGTTTAGGAAGTTCCACTGAGACACAGGAGAGACAGACTTAACCACAGACAGTCTGTGGTCAGGCGTGGCGAGGAGCTCCCAAAGGCTGTTAAGCACGTTTGCCTAATTTAGAAATTATTTCACAAGAAAAATCCTATGCATGCCAGAGGATGTCCTAGAGTAGCCGACAGGGATGCAGAAGACTCAGGATCCTCCAGATGTGTGTGGTCAATCCCGGAGAATTGCTCTCATGAGTCATCTGATTTGCTGGGAGCTCACCAGGCCCGTGCCACCCTGTTACCCTTCCACCCCAGTCCTGTGTCTCTATGCAAATTAACCTGAAAGCATTCAGGACACAGTGTTATGTTCACCAGAAACCGCATCCCTTGGCTTTAGTCTCCAGATATGCAAAGGATAGTTTCTACTTCTCCTCCAAGTTCATTTGACTCTTATCTTTCTACCCCCCTCTTAAAGGTCCCACGGCCATTACTGTCCTTCCTGGTTCTATATTAATAACTTTTCAGATAAACAGATTTCATGTTGGGATCACCAGCTGTTACAGCAGTAGCTCCAACCCTAGAGCTGGGTGCAGCAGTGGGCCCAGGTGGGCGTCGTGTTCCAATTTGTCTGGGAGGCCATCTCCATCGGGGGCTTGGAGCCTCACCCTTTTCCTGGTCCTTCTTGGTGTGTGCCCGTTATCCCGGCCTCAGGCGTGGCCTTGCTTTGGGTCTGGTTTATTCGGTATCTTTGGCTTTCCCTTCCTCCTGCCATCAGGGGGGTTGGCAAGGCTCCCTTTCCTTCTCTCTTGGGCATCTTCCCACTCCTGGCCAACTGGGCGATGCTGCACCTCACCTGAGTCCAGACGTGAGGTCAGCTGTTAGAACAGGGTCAGCTTTGACCCAGGTACCCTGACTGGTTCTTAGTTATGGTCCAACCTCTTGGCTGGGGGCAGACCAAGGAGCTTTATCACAAAAAGATTAAAAATTATTGTTAAAAAGAAGCAGCAGAAAGAGAAGGAGAAAAAGGAGAAAAGAAAGGCACCCTATTCACAACCAGGAAATTCAAGCGAGTCTGAAGATAGTTGTGTTCTTATTTCTGCAAGGCTCTGACCTCTCTCATTGGTCAGACTAGCCTATTTTCATTATTCTTGACCATGAGACCAGACCCCTGGTTTGATTTCACAGAATGTCAGAACAGGAAGGAGGTGCTGAGATGATTTCCAGTCCCCTTGTTTTATGGATGAACAAGCCAAGGCCAGCAGAGAGAAATGCCTTGAACAAGGTGTCTAGTTAGTAGCAGAGCCAGGATTAGAACCTTGGTCTCTGGGTCCAGATGTAGGCTCATGAGCATGAGAGCTGGACCTGTAAAGCCCGGAGGGCTTGGAGAGGAGTGGTTGGGCCAGGTGGTTTCTAAACCCCTTGCAGCTCAAATTATTTTCTGATCCTCTGCTTCCAAATGGCTTCTGTGTTTCTTTTAATATCGCTCCATCAAAAATCCTTTCTCCTGATTCAAGGAGAATGAGAGGCATTTTATCCAAAGGGGAGGCTAAGGACTTGAAAAAGCTTCAGGGACTGATCATCTGCAAAGAGAACAAACGTATTAGAAAATGGGTCCAACCCCAGAGTTTCCCTGTCTATCTGAAAGTTGAACACGACTTGGGGAGGTGGGAGGTGGTGCCCATAACCCAGTCCCCAGTGGTAAGAATTCCGGGTTATGGAGACCATTCTCTGTACGAGGAGTTCACCAAGTGGAACCCAAAGCGTTACCTAACACCAGTGTGAATCCAATCGCTCTTGCTCCAGTGGGTGGCCGGGAGCAAAAATCTGCAGGCTTTTGATGCTTGTCAGGCCCTGGTCTGAGTCCTCAAACCCTGCTCCCTGGTGCTCCTTTGTCATCACCCTTTTCTAAGGGGGGAAGGTGGCAAACTCGCCGGGCGTCACCAGCACCTCAGCCTTTGGACAGGCAATCCACAAACAAGCGGTGACAGCCCCTGTAAGGAGAAAAGGCAACACTTCCATTCTCCAAAACGCGTTTTGTTTTTTTATTTTGTTGTGGGAATCTGAAAGCGACAGAAAACACAGAGAAGAAAATAAATATCCCCCCTAAGCCTACCACCTACCGGTAACCTAGTATTTGGATTTTGGTGAAATTCAGCTAGTCTTTAACCAAATTTTCTCTGCATAAATGCATTTGAACAAATGTTTATACATTTGCCTTCTCAAAATGGGATTTGTTCTATCCTTACTATTTTCAAAACACATTTTTTTTTTTTTAAATGTGAAATGATGCCTTAGGAACACTGTTCCTTGGAAAGACTCCATTTTAGTCCATTTCCATCCATCCTGAGCAGTGGTAGGGTGGGTGGGCAGAGGCTCGCTGGCCACCCAGCCACAGAGCCGGCGACGTCTTGACCACCGTCGGGGGACCTGCAGCCCCTCAGACCCCAGGGTCCCCGGCTTGCAGCTGCCGGGGCCTGACCTCTCCCTCAATGGTTAATGCCAAAGGGATGTCCCAGTGCCTGACTCTGGCCACATTTACTCACATCACTGGCTCTGGTTTTGATTTCTTTTCACATCCCTAGAAAACCCTGGTGGATGTTACTTTGGAAAATAGCAACATTAAGGATCAAATGAGAGACCTGCGGCAGACCTATGAAGCCTCCGTGGGCCAGCTGCGGGAAAAGCAGAGGCAGTTGGAGGTGGCGCAGGTAGAAAACCAGCTGCTGAAAATGAAGGTAAAGCAGAGTGCCGACGTCCCCGTGAGCTGCCTCCTCATTCCCTTTTCTCCTCTCTCCTCCCATCTTCAGGAATTCCATCTCCTTTCCCCTGTTTGCCTTGTTGGCGTTGTCCGCGTTTTTGTGGCCAACCCTACGGGGCTGGGCTGGAGGGCACCAGAGGTTTGTGTGTTCGCTGCTGTCAGTCCAGATTGGGGTTCCCCGTGAACACCCCCAGCGGGCACTCCTGCCCCAGCCCCAGTGGTCTCAAGGGCTGCTGAGACCGTCATCATGGCGCTGCGATCACACCCTGGGGGTGTCCACAGGCCTGGGACTCCAGAAGCTTCACAGTTTAGATTTTCTGTGACATCTCAAGGTCTTTCTGGGTGGTGTGAGAGGAAAGAGTCTGAGATCACACAGGAAGAACATCCGTGGGCGACCAAGGACTCTGGGCAGTGTCCCTCTTGTCCACCAGCCCGTGCCTATTCCTCGGCGGGGCTTCTCCTGCCTCGGAGGTGTTTGGGCCTCTTCTAGATGGGAAGCATGGATTGATCTCGTACCCACTGGTAGGAACAGACCCATGGATGGTGCCTAGAAGGCACTCAGTAAATTATTTCCTGAATCAATATGTTCATACTTAAGTCTGTGGATTTCCAGTCGTGTTCAGCACAGCATTAGGTGGTCCTAGAGGAGAGTTCCTCATGAGTGGTGGACCCGTATAATGGATTGCTCAAACCAGGACACTTTTGGGACTGGAGGGTGGTGCTATTGAGAATTGAGTTGGGGGATGCATGTGGGTGGCTGAGTTGGTTAAGCGTCTGACTCTTGGTTTTAGCTTGGGTCATGATCTCAGGGTTGTGGGATCGAGCCCTACATTGGGGGTCTGTGCTTAGTGGGGAGGCTGCGTCTCCCTCTGCCTGCACTTCCCCTGCTCACACGCTCCCTTCCCCAAATAAATAAATCTTTTTTTAAAAAAAGGAATGGGTTAGGGAGACAAATTGGGACATGCAGTCCCCCTCCGTGTGGGGGTACCTCACATGGGGGGGAGGGGTTGCCACATTACATTTTAAATTTTATTGCTTATTCTACTCAGACCCACTTCTAATAACGTGGTGATCTTTTTTCCAGCCCACAACAGAATACTCCAGAATTTGAAAAGCCATCTTTTGAGGTTAATTAGGGTATGGAGATTTTATCCAGAGATAAAGGTTTATTAAAATTGATAAAATAAAAGATAATAAAACTTAAGGATCAAAAGACATTAGGCCAGAAAAGTCCATGAAGAAAGGGATTAAGAAGATAGTGAAGCGTGGACACATTTTAGAGAGAATTCACTTTTTTTTTTTTTTTTAAACAGGGAGAGGGACAGGGCGAGAGAGAGAGAAAGAAAGAGAGAGAGAGAATCTTAAGCAGGCTCTATGCCCAGCACCGAGTTGGACATGGGGCTTGATGTCACGACCTTGATATCATGACCTGAGACAAAACTGAGTCAGACACTTAATTGACTGTGACAGCCAGGAACGCCCTAAGAGAATTCAATTTAAAAGTGGCTAAATTGAGAGGACAGAGCTGACACTTAGCTACATTTGTCTTTTGAAAAATTTGCTCACGTGGAAGGTCTTTGTCCTGAAACCACCGTGTGAAGTACTGCCTTGTCTTTTCCTACCCATCCGCTGTCCCTCTTCCCGCTGTCCCTCTCCTCTGCATTCCCGCTGCTTCTGTCTCCCGCAGCAGCATCCCACGTTCCCTGCTGCGTGTCCACACCTTGCCCACCTGGCGAGAGGGGCCGGCTCCCCGGGGTTGGCAAAAGCCAGAGCTCTGATGGGCGCGTCTTTGCAGGTGGAATCCTCCCAGCAAGCCAATGCCGAGGTGATGAGAGAGATGACCAAGAAGCTGTACAGCCAGTACGAGGAGAAGCTGCAGGAGGAGCAGCGGAAGCACAGCACCGAGAAGGAGGCTCTCCTGGTGTGTACGTCCTAGCTGCCGACCGACCAAGGAACGGAGAATGTTCCGTCTGTCATCATTGAGGGGGCTGCAGTAACAGGGTTTCTGCCTGGAGGGGAGTCAGTAGACACTAACGTGGGAGAGGGTCAAGGTGTTCATTCACTGGCTCCCTCCCTCCCCCACTTCTTCCTCCCTCTCTGCATCCCTTTCCTTGCCTTGAATACCCCCCTTTCTCTGGCTAGACTCTCTGGCGAGTCTGGGCTTCCGTGCAGCTATGCCCTTTCTCCCTCCATTGGCTCCTCTTTCCGTGAGATGCCCTCCTTCCCTGCCCACACTCCTCCCTGAGCTCCTGCAAAGCCTTGAAAATGCTATCCCCCTCCCCACCATGCACCAAGTCTTTCCCATTCATGAGAAGTGTCCTCTGTGTTTGGGAAGCCCACATTCTTTCTGCTCTTTGCTGTGGCCTTCTCTTGTTCCTGTTACTAGACTTGGACTGTACACCTCACATCCTGGCTTCCCTAGGAACGAGTGTAAGTTCCTTGAAGGCAGGGAGCGGTGGCTGCCTTATCTTGTGTTCTCAAAGCTCTATACGTGGGCTGGGTGGTTGACCGAGTTGGTACTTTGCAATATACGGGAAGGGTCTAGCAGTCTGCATTCAATTCCAGATATGGCCCTATTGCCCTTTATGCTGTTGGCAAATACACGGACAATTCGAGCGTCCAGTCAAGGGAGAAATAACGCTTGCAGGCTTGTTTTTTAGATATAAGGAGTCGGGGAGAAAGGAGAAAAAAGAACTGGGCCCATTAAAAAGCCACACAGTATTTCTTTCTTTCCAGGTGAGAACCAGAATCACAGGAGTTCATGATACAAGTTCATGACACGCCTAGGCCCCCAGGGTGTGCTTCTAGAGAGACGCCATGATTCAGCAAGGCTGGTGCTGTTTGGACCCTAGTCAGCAGCCTTGGGTCTCCAAGGCTGTGCTGAGAACAGTGTGCTTCTTTTGCAGGAAGAAACCAAGAGTTTTCTGAAAGCAATTGAGGAAGCCAATGAAAAGATGGAAGCGGCGGAGATGAGCCTGGAGGAGAAGGACCGGAGGATCGGAGAGCTGGACAGGCTGATTGAGCGCATGGAAAAGGTAACAGACACTGCCCTAGGCCCAGCACCTGCTTTCCCAGGCTCCCCGCCTCTCTCGAGTCCCAGCAGGCTTGTCTGAAGGCTTGAGGCGCCCTCGGCACCCATCCCGCCTGTCCTTCCAATTTGTGATTTAAACAGGAAAGACAGAGCTGTAAAATAAGGTCTGAGGCAGTCCGACAAAGTTCTCATTTTTCCTATGGTAACTCTTTCGATGCTTTAAAAAACATTCCATATATAAATATTTACCCAAATTTGTATTTTCGCACCCTGCTTTGCTGGGGTCCCAAGCACAAACTTCCATTTACTCATTGAGTAACCAAGCCTTATATAAATGTTCCATCTGTACCCTGAGTGGGCCTGCATCTGAAAGGTTGGCTTTTCTCGGACACCCCACATCTGCCAGCCGAGTGAGGTCACCACATTTTCTGTGGGCATTGGGAGTGGGGATGGGGGTAGGCTGGGAAAGGCAGGAGCTCGAAGGTAAAGAAGACATTTGAGAGCAAGGGAGGAAACCGGACATTAGGCAGAAAGTGGAAAACGGGAAGGAGGGGTGGGAGAGAGAAAAGAGAAGGAGCAGGAAGGAGGAAAAAGGCAGGGTGACCTTTAGCAGGTGACAGCTGACTTCTGGGGGTGGGGTGGTAGTCTGGGGGCAAAGCTGTGGCTGGTTTCTGGAGAATGGCTCTCAGCAGCTTGTGGGTCGGTAGGACAGTGACCACCTGCCGAGACTGTGACGTCGGAGCCCCCGGTAACTCAGGCTAAGTGTCCCCCGGCTGGTGACGAGCCAGGGGTAGGGACAATGCAGGTGAGGTGAATGCTTGGGCTTCCAGTGATTCTGAGGGCGGTCTCCTTACCTCTGTGTCTACAGCATAGACCCCCTCCCGTCTCCTGATGAGGCAAGGCACAGCCAGGATGGGAATGGCATGAAACTCCGTGCTCTGGAGCTTCGGGGCTTGGGGGGGTTCCCACTTAGGAAATGTCTTTGTTTGGGAGAGACTTGAGCAGAGTCTGTTACAATGCCACCTCCCCTCCTTGGGAAAACAATCCTAACTTTTATTGAAGAGAAGAGGGTATGGGCTGGTGATGGTCGTGAAGATTGAGCAGTGATGGCATCTTCTAGAACCTAGAGGAGCTTTCTCCCACATTCCCTTTCCTCTCCAACTGGTCATGGCAATCCTCCCCGTGGGTGACAGATTTTCCAGCCACATACAGGCGCAGAGTGAGCGGGTCGCCTGGTTTGGGTAGGATGCCAACTGCTTGTCCATGGGGTGGCTACAAATACAGTTTTAGAATCAGATAGACCTAGAGTTTGACTCTTGCCTCTCTTTCTAGTTCTGGGCAGTTACTTTTCCAAACCGAGTTTCCTCTTCTGTAACATGCTGATAGTAAACATTCTTTCACTTAAAGCTTTGTGAGCAGTAAAACAAGAGAAGTCCACACACAGTGCCAAGCCTGGTGCCTGGCATTTAGTAGTGGCTCAGAAATGTGGGCTTTGATTTTTATTTTGTCACTGACCTGTCTAGGTGTCTGCCCCCAGAGTCAGCTTTTTTTAGCTGGACTTCTTTTTTTTTTTTTTTTTTTAAGAGCTTATCTTCTTTGTACCCTTGGGATTCTCAAAGTAGGATTTTTCCCCACTGATTTCCATGTAGCGCCTGTGTGAGAGGTGATGGGCAGGAGGCCAGGGAGGTGGGAAGGCTAGCCCTCCCTGCCAGCATTTGTGGGATACAGGATGTTCCCCAAGTTCTGTCAGCTTTTTCTGTAGCAAATCAAAATATCAAAACGTATTGTCCTTTCTCTAAATCCTCTTTTCCATTTAGGCGAGAGATGGGTTTGCTTTATTTCACTAGGATTAGGTGTTCCAATGGATGGCTGCTTCTCCCTCAGAGATCCTTCTTTCAGAGTAGGAGAGAGAGCAGTTGTCCTTCACCTGCTCTGCTGACAGCGTGTCCCCACGCATGAATGGTGGCAGTGTGGTATCCTGCCTGCACCCATTTTTGGATTTTCAAAACACTGTTTTTTCCCCCCTGATTAGTAAAAATCTCCTAAGAAGTGTGATTGCTCAGGGACCCTGCTGCAGAAAAGGTGACAGTCTGTGCTTGGGCAGTGTGTTTGCAGGCATGTACAAATGTAAGAAATTACTGGGTAGTGTGCATTCAAGCTTTGTTGTACTTCCAGTTAGGGAAAAAAAATCGAACTTTTAAAGTGTGCCGGGGGGCGCCTGGGTGGCTCAGGGGGTTAAAGCCTCTGCCTTTGGCTCAGGTCATGATCCCAGGGTCCTAGGATCAAGCCCTGCATCAGGCTCTCTGCTCAGCGGGGAGCCTGCTTCCTTCTCTCTCTCTGCCTGCCTCTCTGCCTACTTGTCATCTCTGCCTGTCAAATAAATAAATAAAATCTTTTAAAAAAATAAAATAATAAAGTGTGCCGGAAGTGAGGCCTTTCCCTACTCTAGAGGGCTGTTTTGGGGAGCATCTGCCACTGGGGGTGCTTGTCTCTGAAAGGTCCATCACTATTATTTCAGGGCCGTTGTAGTCTTCCAGCCAGCCGCGAACCACATGAGGACAGGGGAGCCTCCTGCCCAGGTGGGCTGTAAGGCTGTGTCTTTGTTGGAAAGATTTAAGAACAAAAACAGATCCCCACTGAAAGTTGGTCTTCCCTCATGAGGCTAAATCCATCAGTGGTAATATATACTCTTCCTGCGAGAGCGGACAGTTCCCCCATCTCTTCCGCCTATTCCTTGGGTACCGCGGCTCGTAGCCTCAGCAGTGGTGGGAGTTAGTGTTTCAGCGACCGTGTTTTCAATAATTTGGCGGGAAGAGTTTGTTGGGAGAATTTCTGAGAATGATGAGAAGCACAGGAGTACTGAGGGTCTCATGTAAATTAATCTCCCGATATAGCGAACAGGGTTTGATAAATTTCATTTGAAGGAAATCTGTGACACCAAGATCTATAATGTATTTCTAGAGCAATTTTGGTTATGATAGGTGCTACTTTTTTTTTTTTTTCCGAAGGTTTTATTATGTTTTTATTTGGCAGAGAGAGAACAAGTAGGCAGAGCAGCAGGCAGAGGTAGAGGGAGAATCAGACTCCCCTCTGAGCAGGGAGCCCCGCATGGGACTCGATCTCAGGACCCTGGGATCATGACCTGAGCTGAAGGCAGATGCATAGCTGACTGAGCCACCCAGGTACCCCTGAGTGCTACACTTTTTTTTTTTTTTTAAATTAACATATAATGTATTATTAGCCCCAGGAGTACAGGTCTGTGAATTGCCAGGTTTACACACTTCACAGCACTCACCATAGCACATACCCTCCCCAATGGGGAGCTATACTTTTATTAACATTTTCCACTTTGTCCGAGGAAATAATAGTCCATATTCTTATATTATCTTTTTGGATAAACTTTAAAATTTGCATATATACAGCAAAGGGTACAAATCTTTTTTTTTTTTTAAAGATTTTATTTATTTGACAGAGATCACAAGTGGGCAGAGAGGCAAGCAGAGAGAGAGAGGAGGAAGCAGGCTCCCTGCAGAGCAGAGAGCCCGATGTGGGACTCGATCCCAGGACCCCGAGATCATGACCTGAGCCGAAGGCAGAGGCTCAACCCACTGAGCCACCCAGGTGCCCCATCAAAGGGTACAAATCTTAATGGACGGCTTGATATATGTACTAGTTTCCTATGGCTGCTGTAATAAATCACCACTGTGAGTCACTTAAAACAACCCCAGTTTATTGTCCTATGGTCCTGGAGATCCGAAGTGCTAAAATCAAGGTGTCCACAGGGCTAGGTTCCGTCTGGAAACTCTAGGGGAGAGGCCATTTGCTAGGCTTTTTTTTTTTTTGGAAGATTTTATTTATTTATTTGACAGAGATCACAAGTAGGCAGAGAGGCAGGCGGAGAGAGAGGGGAAAGCAGGGTCCCAGCTGGGCAGAGAGCCCGACACGGGGCTTGATCCCAGGACCCTGAGATCATGACCTGAGCCTAAGGCAGAGGCTCAACCCACTACCACACAGGCCCCTTGCTAGGCTTTCTAACTTCTAGAGGCTGCCTGCGTTCCTTGACTCAGGGCTCCAGCTGGCAGCTTCAAAGCCAACAGTGTAGCATTTTCCAGTCTCTGTTTCTTCCTGGCTCCAGCCCTTCTTCCTCCTGCCCATAAGGGCCCCCTGGATAATCCAGGGTCATTTGACCATGTTAAGACCCTTAACTTAATCCCATCTGCAAAGTTCCTTTTTCTGGGTAAGGCCACAGGTGCCCAGGTCTCAGGCCTTAGGATGTGGCCATCGCTGGGGGGCCACCCATTATTCTGACGGTCACAACACACTTTTACAAGTGAACCTACACGTGTAACCACCACCCAGCTTAGTATATAGGGTATTACCCAAATTCCAGAGATTCTTTTCTTGATGACGCAGAAATTCATCAAGAATTTTGCAATAACACAGGCCACTGGCTGAGGAGTATGGATTTTCATTTTCTAGAACTATAAATTCTCACAAGATATCTGAACCTAGGTTGATGGGATACTTATTCATTGACTTATTAAAGATTTCTTTGTTTTTATTGGAGAGAGTGTGCACACAAGCAGGGGGAAAGGCAGAGGCAGAGAGCAAATCCTCAAACAGACCCCCAGCTGAGCATGGAGCCCTGACGTGGGGTTCAATCTCATGACCTTGAGATCGTCAGGTAGGCCCAAACCAAGGGTTGGATACTTAACTGAATAAGTCACCCAGTCGCCCCATAAAAAGAAACCTTGAATGGCTTTATCCAGGATATTTGTCTCTAATTCATAAACACATCTGTAAATGCAGACCAGGAGCTTTGGCAGTTTCGAGCTTCGGTTAAACTCTGGTGGGTGGATGCATAGACCCTACGGGGCGTCCTATAGACTTGACCCCAAGAGTGCTGGAATCACTTGATCTACGTGCACTGATTCAAATATCGGTGTCTGTTTCAGGAACGTCATCAGCTGCAGCTCCAGCTCCTGGAGCACGAAACAGAAATGTCAGTGGAAATAATGGACCCTGACAAGGAAAGGTAAGACGGATGCCCTTTATCGCATAACGGACTTGGGTGGTGGACGTGCTGTGTTTCCGTGGGCTCAGCAGGTCCTCACATTTTCCTTCCCTTGGTCATCACCATTGCAGACTCTTACATGTCGAACATCAGGCTCAGAGCTTCTGCCCCGGGGCCAGTTTCTCTGGGCGCTCACAGCCACATCTTGCAGCCCATGACTGGTTGTTAGAGCAGAGAAGCACCCTGCAGGCTCTCTCGGGTGCAAAAGTTCAGTCTCTAAATGTTCTCCATGACCTTCAACTCCACAGGATGCACCTTGTTGATGAGAGCACACATCATCTGTGACTAAATACCACTGCAATGGAAACTAATTTTAGAATGCCTTTTTTTGTGTGTCCAGACATTGTTTACTCAAACCTGGCCTTGTGCCCTGCCTGTGGGCATATAAAAATCTACATCAAAAATGAGGGGGCGGTAGTGCATGGTCTTCCCCTGAAATCAGAAGGCAGAGAGGCTGTGCACCGCCCTCTGCTGAAGGAAAGTGAGGTTGGGATGATTCGAGCAGTTTGAACCAGCTGCTTAACTTTGCAGCTTTGCCAAGATTCCTTACTTATCTGCAAAGTGAGAATTCCTTTTAAAAGGGAGGCATGACGGTGAGTGCCGGTCTCATGGGGTCATTAACTGTGAGGGAGCTGGGGCGCCCACTGCCTGCCATGTGGTTCGTGCTGCAGAATGTCTGTTTCCCTTCCTCTCTGCAACTTCGGGCTTCGCAGTCTTCTGTAGACTTTAACGTGGCCTGGCAGAGAGGGGAGGGGTACACTGACCGCCAGACCCCATGTCCCCGGCTCCATTCCAGCGGCCCCCAAGCCCTGAAGAGTCTGTCTGCTGCTCCTTTGGTCTCACCGAACTGAGCAAAGGCCGAGGGTGGTTTGTGCTGTTCTAAGACAAAATGTCAAGTGTCTTAGGATGCGGCCCCATTTGTTTTGATGCAGAGAAGGTCTTTCACCGTGTTTCCCAGTTTTTCAGAATAAATGTTGCATAGACAACTGGAGTTCCAGATTTCCCCGGACTCGGCCCCTTGATTTCAGATAGCGGGTTGTAGTCAGAGATTCCCGCCTCCTCTGTTTTCCGAATCAAGGCATTTGACTTGTATAATGTATAGTGTACAGTATTATACTAACCCCCGGACAGAGAGCCCCCCCATTCTATATGTGGTGCCCCCCAAATTCCGTTTCAGACCCTGGAAAGTAGTGTTGCTGTCCTTATACAAGGTGAACCTTGCAAGAGGGAACATGAGTAAAAGTCCCGTACTTCTCCCGGGTGGGTGGTTGACAGGTAGTGAGCCCCCCCCCCCCCCCCGGGAGACTCACGGAGTAGGAGGCATGTGTGGCGGAGCAGCCTTTCCTGTTCCGGGCGAGGCTCCCTTCCGCCGCGACCCTCGGCACTGGTGGGGCTGCTCTGGTTGAGGGCCCCGCGCCTCACTCTGCTCCCTGTGTCAGGTATCAGCAGCTGGAAGAGGCATCGGCCAGCCTCCGGGAACGGATCCGGCACCTGGACGACATGGTGCATTGTCAGCAGAAGAAAGTCAAGCAGATGGTTGAGGAGGTAAGCCCCTGTGAGAGGCCACGGGCCAGGACGGCTGCCTGTCGTGGGGACCCGTCAGCCCTCGAGCTGGCTCTGCGTCTCAGCTCAGTTCACCATGGCTCATGAGTGGAGGTCCTCAGGCAACTGTCTTCATGGCCCAGAAGGAAATTTCCTCACATGTGCCACTTCTGCCCATCCCCGGGGACTGGTGATCATCCCTCTAATCAGATAAATTGTCACAATTAAGAAGGCCTGGAAGCGCATTTTATAAGCTCACTGGACTTCAGAGGGCTGCGATTCTCCAGGGGCGGGCCTACAGTTCAGGGGAGCCCCCGGTGTGATAAGGAACGTTTCCTTTAGCTCAGGTCTCTGCACGTCCTTGCACCTGGCTGCCTCTCTCCCAGGGACCACACCGTCTTTCCTTCCTCAGTGGACAGGTGTCTCCTTTTCCCCTGTTCCCTTTCTCCTCCCTCCTCTCCCTTCTTCCCTCATTCTCTTCTCCATCCTTTCTCTGTCTGTGGGACATCCGACCAAGTTACATGTTTACTCTGTGCCGGACATAGCTTACTTGTCTGTTATTCTAAATGGAAAAAACAGGTAAGTTGAACATTTATATTTCTACCAGAGGAAAAAAAATTCTTTCACTTGTGTTACTACAGTCTGTCTCTCTTTCCTGTGGTGCTCAGTAGGAGAAATCCCACGCTGTAGTACAGTGAGTCACATATTCTTGTCTCTTTCTTGCTCAATTAAACATCGGATAGAAAAAAAGGAACAGTTAATCCTAACAACGTTATAAATTCCCTATGGTCTAACTCTCTATCGTGCATTGAGAGGGCTCTAATTTAATTAAACATTTGGTTGGCAGTGGAAAAACTGAAAAAAACACTTTCCTTATATTAAGCACTGCTCTGAAAAGTTATCTGTTAATGAATTATTGAAATTAAAAGCATGCCTACTGATAAATTACACATGTAACAGACAGGATTAAAATATGCCTATTAATCTCTAAAATGTTGGTGATATTAGTGGAGCGAGGTTAAGGTCAGGGGACTGTGAGGTTGGGGAGGGATACATTATTCTCTTGTTGGATAAACATACACATTAGGTGAAATCCGTTGCCTAAATAAGAAATGAAGTCATACCGTGCTGACTCCCGTGAATCTTATGCTGGCGCATCTGTGAGTGTCAGAGAGCAGAACAGAAGAATGAGGAGACCCTCTGCACTCCCACTGCACACCCAGGCAGGAGCCACAGTGGCGGGTGGGTCCTGCCCAGTTAGCAACACTGGCTACGCATCAGGAGCGTGTTTGCCTAGGAAAAGCCTTGCTTCGTTATGCTTAGTTAACACCTCAGGCGGCGACGGCTGTCAGATAGTAGCTTTTCAGTTTCTGAATCTCACGCACAGGAACTCTGGCCAAGGCTGTCCCTGTTTCCCCATGTGCCTTTGACCGTGGAGCCCTGCATTTCTTCTAGCTCACCACAGTGAGGTGGTGTGCCCTGTTCTTAGATTTTATCTTAGAGCCTCGTACCGCTTGGCTTCTGTTTCGGGGTTGAAGATTGGTTCCTAAGTCAGAGATCCTTCTTCCAAAGACACTTTCAAGTGGTTTAGGAGTCTCTGGTTTCTAATTTCTGGAATAAAACCGAGAAACCCATTTGAGGGGAGCCAAGGGAAATCGATATATGAAAATAGAGAAGCATATAAAGATCACTGTCCATGCCTGCCTTTTCTACCTATGACGCACTGTCTCCCAAACAAGCTTCTCTAAGTCTGGCCGATGGGGTCTGGAAGACACAGTCACCAGAATGAAACCGCAGGCTGAAATGTAGGGTGGCTCCGTCATCAGACTGAGCACCACCCCCAGCTGGGTTTCCACAGTGCATGGGGACCAGAAAGAAAAGAGCGACTTTCTATTCTAAGTTTTAACAACTACCTAAAACAGTAGTAAGAAGGAAGGTGTGTTCCCAGCATACCATGCTAACTTACGCCACAAAAGGATGGTTTACACTTTCAGTTGCCGCTGCCCATGGTGCGAGGAGATTTTTTTTCTTTTTTTCTTTTTTTTTTTTTAAGTTGCAAACATTGAAAAGGGGCATCGACCAATCAACACATTTAGAAGAGCAGAGTTAGGTTGGAAAGGAGTTGAGAGCTCTAGTGATTCAGGGAGCGGCTGAAGGGCTTGGCTAAGAGATGGCCAAGGAGAGGCGTGAGAGCTGAGTTCACGTCTCAGAATGTTTTTGTTTTTTTTTAAATAATTTATTTATTTATTTGACAGAGATCACATGTAGGCAGAGAGGCAGGCAGAGAGAGAGAGTGGAGGAAACAGGCTTCCTGCTGAGCAGAGAGCCCAATGTAGGGCTCGATCCCAGGACCCTGGGATCATGACCTGAGCCGAAGGCAGAAGCTTTAACCCACTGAGCCACCCAGGCTCCCCAGAGATTTTATTTTTTTTTTAAGATTTCATTTATTTATTTGTCAGAGAGAGCACAAGCAGAGGCAGAGGGAGAAGCAGGCTCCCTGCCAAGCGAGCAGCCTGATGTGGGACTCGATCCCAGGATGCTGAAATCATGATCCAAGCCAAAGGCAGCCATTTAACTGACTGAGCCATCCAGGCGTCCCTGCTTTCTTGTTTAGCATTGCGAAGCAAGGCCAGGCCACAAGCCCTGAGTGGCACTTGCAAAGAGGCAAATTTCAGCTTTTCATTTCACATGAAGAAAACATTTCTAATATCGGCTTCCCTGGGAAGGTAGCCCTCCCTCACATGTACATTCCTTAGGACTTGCGCTAGAAGCTCTTTATAGAAAGTCTGCGTTACTGTCTACTGGGCTGTGCGATCTTGGCATTATCATTCCTTTGCATAAGCAGCACAATTAGCAGATTGATAACGTCTGACTTGAGAAGTTCATTTTTTTTTTAAAGATTTTATTTATTTGACAGAGATCACAAGTAGATGGAGAGGCAGGCAGAGAGAGAGATAGAGGGAAGCAGGCTCCCTGCTGAGCAGAGAGCCTAATGCGGGACTCGATTCCAGGACCCTGAGATCATGACCTGAGCCGAAGGCAGCGGCCTAACCCACTGAGCCCTCCAGGCGCCCGAGAAGTTCATTTTTATCTGTGACCTTCCACGATCCAGATATTGGAACAAACTTGACCTAGAAATAGAGGCAGACTTTCTGTGCGGCAGACGTTAGGGACGGTCTTGCTTCCCACACAAGAAGTCTGAAAGCTCGTGCGCGTGGAGTGTCACATCTCCCAAAGGTGGGGATCCCGTCTGCACCCACTGCTGGCATCATTTTCGCCATAATGTCTATGAAGAAACTTTGTTTACTGAAATGATGGGTTGCTTTTTTCAGCTCAAAACTGAAAAAGGGTGTTACTGAGGTTCTTGGAATCCTTAAATGTTAACCCCTGTATTTCCTTCCACTTTTAGTAGGACATAGTTTCTTGATAATAATACAGTGAATGAAAACCAGCCGGCCTCCGTTTCGCAGTGTGCAGGATGGGCTAACCGCAGGTCGGTGCAGGATGGGCCCTTCTCAGTGAGGGGTTGGTATACCTTTTATGGGGTCGAGTTTGAAGCATAGTGTCTTATGTGACGTGTGGGACCAGACACCGGCAGGCTAGATCTTTCTAGCAAATTACATCTCCTTTTGTGGTGAATGTCAGGGATTGGTTACCTCCCTCCCATCACTAATTCTTCTAACTGGTTGTGGCTCTGACAAAAAACAAAACAAAACAAAACAAAAACAACCCCCAAACAAAACAAAAAACAAAATGAGCCCATATATGCACCTTTTATACTTTTAAGGGTTTGCCACAAAATATAGAGGGACTGAAAATAGCACCTGTGGGGAAATGCACTGGTCTGTGGATTCACCAGATAAGCACCAGCACTTCCTTTGTGCCTGGGACAGGTGTGGTCCTGCCCTTCTGGATCTTACCATCTCCTGTGACCTGCCTTCCAGACTCCTCTCGCATCGGCTTCCTTTTTCTGTTGGAAAGTCTGGTTGGGATTGGCCGTCCTTTGTCTTGAGTCAGGCTGCATTCTTAGCTTACCTTTCAGGGAGTCCAGAAATGGGGAGGAGCAAGAGTCTGGGCAGAGCCTGATGCCAGATTCCTGTCTCCCCGCCCCGCCCCCTCCGCCCCGCTGGCAGGTCATTCACACCTCTCACCTGCTCTCACGCCAGGCCGCCCCCTGCCAACCAAAGTGGCTTTCCTGCCGAGGAGAAAATTACCTGGAGGAGAAAACAAATTCCTATTTGCTCTCTACAAGGGGGAGCATCTCACATTTTTGCCAATAGGCAGTGATATTATTGAGCTGACTACATGGTAATTTCATAGAGAGCTCCTTGACCTTCTCCCTTATCAGCCTTAGGAATCCTTCCAGTTTACCACCTCCTTCTTCTCCTCGCTTCCCATTGTGGTCTCCGTGGACAACGTGGTTCTTCCAGCAGCATGTCTCTCTCCGGGTGTCCTTACAGTGGCAGAGGAAACCGTTCTGGCTTTAGACTTTTCTTTTGCAGAAAGCCCTTCCATTTCCACTTGTCCCCCTCTGTGATGTAGATGTTTGATGCGTGCAAAGGCGGAAGGAGTGGGTTTTCCTATTCCTGCTTCTCCATCCAGGATGCGTGTTCAGCTCACTCCAGGAGCTCTAAAACACGCCAGGCCTGGCAGATGGCAGTGGGAGGAGGGCACTGGGCAGGGCAGGGGTTAGGGTTTTTTTTTGGTTTTTTTTTTGTTTTTTTTTAAGCTGCACAAGATTGCAGTATGCAGCCAGGACAGAGAAGCAGGGCTCTGAATCTGTAGAGCAGCGGCTTGGGTCCCCACATGGGGCCTCTGTCTGTCCATCTGTTCAGCCCGCCTCTCTCATAAGCTGCTGTCCCTGAGCTGGAAAGCTGGTGGTGGACTGGGACTGGAAAGAGTCAGGAAATGGCTCCAGGAAAGAGAAACCGAGAGACCACTGAGCAAGGACCATGAGCAGGGACGCAGAGAGCTGGTCCCAGTGTGTGACCGTGTGGTCTTGT